CTCTTAGCTGGGGAAGGAATTAAGCTTATACAAGCATTGAAAAGAGGGCTATGATCATAAGGAATGTTTATAACTGAGAGTCCAAGGACAGTCAGTACAGGTGTGTGGACAATTATTGGACTTCTCAGCACCAGGAATATTGTATACTCTGTTTTGAATTTTCTTTATGGTCATCTGTCTTAGTAGCCTGTTCTTTGCATACAGTGGCCTATTTGCTTGTGAAGGTCTCATTCAGGCCAGGCATGACATGTTTCAGGTAGCTAAGTTTTTGTGGTTGTTGTTGTTGTTTTGTTTTGGTACCAGGTATCAAACTTGGGATCTTGCACTTGCAAGGCAGGTGGCAGCACCACTGAGCTAAATCCCTGGCCCAGGTAGCTAAGTTTCTAAAACTTAGGCCTATAACTTCCTGGGATAATCAATTTGATTTTCAATGCCTACCGTTTTACAAAAATCACACTGTACTATATGCAAATATAATATTCCAGGTAATTACACATTTGATCCTAATAATTTTATTGGATAGCTGCAGTATTGTTAAATATATATATGGTCTTTCCTTTTCCTGGCATTCAACTCATAAAACAATTTGTCTTTTTTGCGTGGTAATAACTGATTGATGGCTGGCAGCCCCTAAAAGCTTTAGGATGATTAGGATGATGTTATGATTTGGGACTAGATGTCTCCCCAAAGCCTCATGTGTTTTTTCAGAGGTGGTTGAATCTAGAGTATGTGATGCTAACATGAAGGGTGTGTGATTACTAAATCAGTACACTTATTGGTTTGGTATTACTCTACTCTTGATAGTCTGGATAAGATGAAAGGGGAAGAACGATGTTGTTAAGAGGCCCTTGTTGCTTTGTTACTTTCCATCCCCTGTGAATTTTTGCCCCTCTTCCATATGCCACCCTGCCTTGGAGCCAGGTGGTTATTGACCAAAGCCTCTACAAACTGTGAGCTAAATAAACCCTCCCCCTTTTAACTTTGGGTGTTGAATATTTTATCTCAGCAATAAGGAAAGTAACTCAGACAGACAGGAACTGGTTGCTTGAAATACCAAAGCATAATTACTGGGCCTTTCAGCACCACTTACAACCTCCAGAGAAGAGGGGCTAAAGGTTAAGCTGATTGCCAATGGCCCAAGATGTAATCAGCACTGTCTATATGATAGAGCTTCATAAACACCTAAAAGAACTGGGCGCAGAGAGCTTTTGGATAGCTGAATACATGAAGGTTACAGGAAGGTGGTGCACCTGGTGGGAAGACATGGAGGCTCCACACTCCTCACGTGCAGGCCCTATGCATCTCTTCCATCTCATATTCTTTTGTGTCACTTGCAGTATCCTTTACAATAAACCAGTAAATATGTTTCCTTGACTTCTGTAAGCTACTCTAGCAAATTAATTGAACCTGAGAAAACTGATTTATAGTAGATCAGTTAGAAGAAGAAGCACAGGTAGGACAAGAATCTGGGACTTGTGATTGCACCTGAAATAGTGGTTTATCTTGAGAGACTGATTCCCCAACCTGTGGGATCTCCAGGTTGACTGTGTTGGAAATAAATTAAATTAAAGGATATCCATCTCTTGACCACTTCAGTAATTGATCATCTGATGGATGGGAGGGAAAAGACCACCTGGCTTTTATCTGGTCACATAAGTGTTCTGTATTATGAAAACTGGAGAAATTGATTCTGTTTTTCCAGTTTTCTCAGTAGAGTAAATCAGAACATTTTTAGGTGGCTTTCAAGACAGCTCAGTCACAATGTAAATAATTGTTTTTTATTACCATTAATACATACAGCAAACATTGTTTATCCTCATTCCACCCATTAACATCATTAATATGTAAAGTTTCATTTTTTTTCTTTTATTTGTGTTTTGACTTATTTGAATTTTAAAGAATCAATTAATTTGGGACATTCCTGTAATCCCAGCACTTGAAAAGCTGAGGCAAGAAGATCACAAGTTCAAGCCCAGCCTGGGTAATTTGTCAAATTAGTGAAACCCTGTCTTAAATGAGAAAAAAAA